TAAATCATAACCCTGCACTCGTCAGCATTGAACTGAATCTGCCAATTTGCAGTTCAATTTTGTTAACTCTACTGTGAGGTCTTTCTGGAGTAGGTTTGGAACCTCGTATGAGTTCATTACCCGAATTATTCAAGCGTCACTGACAAGACTTACTGATATAGTTGTCTTGTTCACTCTAACTCCAGTTATACTCTGAATGTTGACATTCTATTTTCTATGTTAGTAATGGTCAGGAAGATGAGGTCCTATTCACTACCATTTTCCTCTGTATTTATCCCATTAATGTTTCGTGTAGAACACTGCTAAAATTCTTACTAAAGTCTGGACGTGTGATACTATAATCTTCATCTCTGATGCTTCAAATATGTTTGAAAACAGAGCGTAAATTTGTAAAATGTAATAGTCCTTTTTTATATAAATCCAGGTTATGAAATTGTTAAACTTTCTTCTTATTAATAGGATTTTTTCAAAATATGAATGTTGAATCCTGTAACAACTACCAACATTCAGGAATTTAGATATTCTTACCTCATGTCAAACCTGTTAGACTCCAGTAGGCGATCTACCAATGACGTAGAACCTTCGCGCCTTCTCTAATTACTTTGTTTATACCTTGGCTTTAGAAATTAGTAGATGTTCTTGCATTACATTCAGCTACTCGGAACTAACAGTTCGTAGCAGCACGTGTTACGGTTACTGATAACAATTAATTTCAACCTGCACCGTCTATTATAAGCTCTATGGAACTTATACTGGTATAATTAAAAGCTTCGTATGTTTTTCCATAAATTTTTTGTTTTGTAAAATTAAATATTATAAATCTTATGTAAAATAAAAGTACTATGATTATCTTTTATTTAAATTTTGATTTATAATATCTGTATTTTTAATGTTCTTTTAGATGATAAATTTAAATTTATATATATATATTACACACAGTTGATATTGCCTACAAAATAAATTAATGGGTTTAATTATATTTTATTCATCCTTTAAGACATTAGCCATGTGTAAGACATATCGTAAATAGCTCTTTTAAAGTTAATATTAAATTGTATATATATATCAGTTACAATGAATATGGCTGAAGTTAATTTCCATAGTCCAGTTTCCCGCTGAGGTCTCAGATCCCAGTCCCACGTGATCAAATCCAAAATAGTCGGGAAAATCAAACGAAAAATACATTTCAGGTACTGGTTTGTATCTTGGACAATCCTATTAAACAGGTGGTTCTCCATTTCTGATTATTTTACCTCATTGTGCAACCCATCACTAGGTTGTGCAACCCATCACCAGGTTGTGCAAGCCGTCATCAGGTTGTGCAACCCATCACTAGGTTGTGCAACCCATCACTAGGTTGTGCAACCCATCACCAGGTTGTGCAAGCCGTCATCAGGTTGTGCAACCCATCACCAGGTTGTGCAACCCATCACCAGGTTGTGCAAGCCGTCATCAGGTTGTGCAACCCATCACCAGGTTGTGCAATCCGTCACCAGGTTGTGCAACCCATCACCAGGTTGTGCAACCCATCACTAGGTTGTGCAACCCATCACCAGGTTGTGCAAGCCGTCATCAGGTTGTGCAACCCATCACCAGGTTGTGCAACCCATCACCAGGTTGTGCAAGCCGTCATCAGGTTGTGCAACCCATCACCAGGTTGTGCAACCCATCACCAGGTTGTGCAAGCCGTCATCAGGTTGTGCAACCCATCACCAGGTTGTGCAACCCATCACCAGGTTGTGCAAGCCGTCATCAGGTTGTGCAACCCATCACCAGGTTGTGCAACCCATCACCAGGTTGTGCAACCCATCACCAGGTTGTGCAATCCGTCACCAGGTTGTGCAACCCATCACTAGGTTGTGCAACCCATCACTAGGTTGTGCAATCCGTCACCAGGTTGTGCAATCCGTCACCAGGTTGTGCAACCCATCACCAGGTTGTGCAAGCCGTCATCAGGTTGTGCAATCCGTCACCAGGTTGTGCAACCCATCACTAGGTTGTGCAACCCATCACTAGGTTGTGCAACCCATCACTAGGTTGTGCAACCCATCACCAGGTTGTGCAACCCATCACCAGGTTGTGCAATCCGTCATCAGGTTGTGCAACCCATCACTAGGTTGTGCAACCCATCACTAGGTTGTGCAATCCGTCACCAGGTTGTGCAACCCATCACTAGGTTGTGCAACCCATCACTAGGTTGTGCAATCCGTCACCAGGTTGTGCAATCCGTCACCAGGTTGTGCAACCCATCACTAGGTTGTGCAACCCATCACCAGGTTGTGCAACCCATCACCAGGTTGTGCAAGCCGTCATCAGGTTGTGCAACCCATGACCAGATTGTGCAACCCGTCACCAGATGGGTTGCACAACCCATCACCAGGACTATACTCGTTTAAGTTCTGAATGACCCCCAAAGAAACATTCATCAAGTTTTCAATACTGTGTAACGAAAAACATATTTTTCTGAAATTTAAATGAATATTATTACACATCATAGTAAACTAGGTTAGGATAGTTGCTTTGGTTAAGTTAGTAATGATTTGTATACAACATGTGTGTGAAGCATTTAGAAAGGCAAACTTCGAACAGTATAAATGAGCGAAGCACTTTGAAGAAAAAAATTCTTCCAGCTCTTCTTGCGACTGCGAGTCTTTAGGCTATGCTCGGCCAGGCGGCAGCTCACACCAAAGACGCATTCGTCAATTTTTATATAAATTTATATTCAAAATTTAAATCTTCCCAGCTATAAATTAATATTATGATGTTTTAGAATTTGCTGTATAGTTAGGCCAAGCGTAGGTTGGGTGATTAGGTTCTCTGGGCAATTATTTTGATTTACATTATTGTGTTTGAAATTGCACCTCTCTAAAATGCTTCGTACCCCCACCTGTAAATCAATATAATTACCAACAGAGTCAAAACCCGTGAACTGACCTATCTATCCTTGGCGTAACTATGCACAATAATTTGATATACTTTAAGATATATATTTATATTTGAGAAAATATCCTGAGCTGCACAAGGCGCTGATTTCAGGGCTAAGGTATCCTGAGTTACACAAGATGTTGTGTAAAGGTATCCTGAGCTACACAAGGTGTTCAGTGAAGGTATCCTGAGCTACACAAGGTGTTGTGTAAAGGTATCCTGAGCAACACAAGGCGTTCAGTGAAGGTATCCTGAGCTACACAAGGTGTTGTGTAAAGGTATCCTGAGTTACACAAGGTGTTGTGTAATGGTATCCTGAGCTACACAAGGTGTTGTGTAATGGTATCCTGAGCTACACAAGGTATTGTGTAAAGGTATCCTGAGCTACACAAGGTGTTGTGTAAAGGTATCATGAGTGACACAAGGTGTTGTGTAAAGGTATCCTGAGTGACACAAGGCGTTCAGAGAAGGTATCCTGAGCGACACAAGGCGTTCAGTGAAGGTATCCTGAGCTACACAAGGCGTTCAGTGAAGGTATCCTGAGCTACACAAGGCGTTCAGTGAAGGTATCCTGAGCGACACAAGGTGTTGTGTATAGCTATCCCGAGGTACACAAGGTGTTGTGTAAGGTTATCCTGAGCTCCACACGTCGATATAACTATTTAAAAATACAAAATCTGGGTTTAGATTACTAATTAGATAATTATCTTATTAAATTAAATTTGTGCTAGAAGTAAATATTGTATAGTCAAGTTAAGCAGTGTCAACTTTATATTTTGATGGATGGGTGACCGCAAGTAACATGAACTTGTCGAGGGTTACCGAAAAGTACCTGGTTAGGATTCCTTCAGTAGTCGACTGGTAATGACTCCTTCAAGAACAACGTTAGTCGTTGTCTGGGAAGGACTGCAGAATCATAAGACAACACAATTGATGACCATAATATTTTAATGACTGAAAGGTTGTTGTTGTTTAAGATTCGCTACTTGGAACAAAAAGTTCCAAGTAGTACGGTACTATAAGGGTTTCAGAACTCCATATATAGACCGTGACTGAAGGATAGCGGTCGTCGCGCACCATCTAACATCTGCTGTGCATGTATTTATGTGGTAAATACATGCGAGTTGCTATATCCAACGGGGGTTTCCGTTTACACTGAACTGTGTAAATAGTTGATAAGGACTGCAACTCTAGCCGACTGAATTTTGGGATTCAGTTCCTGAGCCCGTTATGTGCCTCTGTAAAGTTTTTCACCACCACCCACATGATGAGTATAATGTGGTACTTAATAAGTAAACTAAACTTAGAAATAACAGGGGAGGATATATACCGAGAGGCGTACTCCACTTCGTAGCGTATAGTTTACTCCTGTAATATATTCACCATTAAAGTATACTTACCTGTTCAGTAAACTCTTGTGGTGGTCTTAATAACCCTCCAAATATTGAGCCCAACAGCAAACCAAGTAAATATTTGCACGAAAATATATACCCAGCTTCTCTGTGTGTACATACTGTGCGTTAACTTTAGCTGGATAATACTACCTTAAACACTTCCTTCCTTCCATAGAAATAATCTTACCTCAGTATTTAAACACTTCTCAATTGTTCACCTTGAAGACCGACGATCTGTAGTGGAGTTTATGTCAAAGTTTCAGTTTCCCATTTTCTTTACCTAAATGTCCATTGTTGACTTTTATATAGATTTAAAACAATAGAAGCGAGTTTTAGGTTACTGCATACAACACACTTGACATTTAGAGACTATGCAAATAAAGTTTGAAATTATATTCAAAATTTAATTTATTTAATTAGTATATTTCTAAGATAAGTAAAATTGTTATACTGTAGTTTATAAGCTCTAATTAAGACAAGATCAGGCGCAAGAATGTTAGCTATATATGATACACATGTGACTTTAAGAGTTTACCTACACACGAGCGTACATACACACACACAAACACACACACATGATCCCTCTTAGAGTAAATATAACAAACAACATTACCGTGTTAGCGAGCACATTACTGTGCTACAGGAATAATGTACCACTATTGCCAAAAAATAAAAAATTAATACTGTTTACATCGAAGAGTTTATTGAAACACTTTGATATACAGGTTCAATTATTATATAAGTCAAACAGGAAAAAAGCAAACAAATATACAATATCTTTTTAAATCTGTTTGTATCATACTCAACGACTTTGACCCTCAGGCGCCGTAATAATGACACTGTTTACAAACAATAAGGTCACGTGACCCAGAACATGACTGAGACAGGTCAAGGGTCAAGGCTGTGAGTAGTGTACATTTAAGGTAATACAACAAATAGTCTCTTCTTATTTGTTTTTAAGGGTCAATTTAAATTATTTTTTTTTTTTAGTGGTGAACACAACCATCTACACGTCTACTCTGGGTTAACGAGTCTACAATAGAGTATGGTAATTAGGGTCAACAAGCTGCTTTAAAGGTTTTATATTCTTGTATTTAAATGCATAAGAAAAGACAAGACAAAGAATAACATTCTGATCATTACAGCTTCCATAAAATACTATATATAAACATTCAAAACCCCAAAAAACAGGTTGAAAAATAGAAGGAAATCAACAGAATTTGAGGGGAAGGATTGAAACGGTGATGGTAGTAGGTATTGAAACGCCTTGCGCCAGGTGAAGGAATACCCTTAAGGAGCTTCTCAAGGAGCGCCTCAAGGAGCACCTCCAGGAACACCTCAAAGCACATCTGCAGCAGCACCTCAAGGAACATTCCAAGAACACCTGCTGAAGCACTTGAGGAACAGCTCAAGGAGCACCTCCAGGAACACCTCAAAGCACATCTGCAGCAGCACCTCAAGGAACATTCCAAGAACACCTGCTGAAGCACTTGAGGAACAGCTCAAGGAGCACCTCAAGGAACACATGCATGCGCACCTCGAGGAGGACCTGCAGAAGTATCCTAAGGAGCACCTCGAGGAACACCTCAAGGAGCACTAGAAAGGCATATATGACGATTTAGACTATTAACTAAAGTCTGAGCGATCAAACGGTCTATAAGAAATCAACATAGAAGAGAATAAGCCATAAAAGATCCACAAATAATTGAGGGGAAATAAACAAGGTAGAAACTAAGTAACAATAAAAATAAAAGCCTAACAAAAGAAAGCAAGGCGAAATAATGCTAAATAGGCCCAAGGATTTTGTACACTGAAAAAAGCACCATATATATATATATATATATATATATATATATATATATATATATATATATATATATATATATATATATATATATATTCTCAGTTAAAATCGTTTTAAACTTCAAAGTAAAAACAAAATTACACTTTAGTATATAAAAAATATGTATATAGCCGACCGACATTTAAAGATAGACAGAATCAACTTCACTGTACAGTTGTATATAAAAGTGAACATAAATCTTTTAGTTTATAACCGGGGGGTGATTTTGATCAAATCTGAACACCAAAGAGATAACAGATGAACAATGGTATACGGAGAGATGAATATCGATGTTCAGAATGAAATGGGATGCAGTGGTGCACACCGAACCAATTTAAACGGGGCTGAACAGCTTACATGTTAACTAACATAAATTGGCGTGTGCTTTCTTAATGCGTAGATTTGAACTCATTTCAACGCGATCAAAGAACTGAGAATGAGCTCTTGGTATATCCCGACAAGGAGCATAAAAGCGATGTTTGTCAAGAATAAAGATATTTTAGAAATCCTTATCATGTCGGTGAACAAAAGCAGAAATAATGACCTCCTATGAAACTTACCATTAACTAAACGTTTGGTGGAAAATTAAAATTTCGGAAAAATCTATTTTGAAGGATCTTGTAACTAGGCTACAATTCACAATTTATAATAACTCTAATGCCTTGTACAAATTATATATATATGTGTGTGTGTGTGTTTAAAGGAAAAGGGTAATTTCTTCGGTGCTGTGAGCATACGACACTAGATTTTCCCCTCTTTATTGACAATTTCTCGCCATTTTGTACAAAATTTCTTTAAAAATTGTTGAATCTCCAGCGCTTGACTTTTAAAGCTTCTTCAGCAAGCCGTGACTAAGAAACTAGTAAATTCAAATCAATATAATTAATAGAAACATTAGTAATGGTGTTTAGTGTTGATGCTGCTGCTGTTATTAGCAATGTTACTCTAGTTTTAGAGTTGTTATTAATACCTTTCAAATCAGTAAAGCATTGTGTGTGCGTCTCTCACACCACCGCAGAGCTGGAGGAATCCTGACAAAGGGTCACTGAATAAACTCTCTTGGAATGTCAACCAACGTGGCTATTAAACTCGTACTTATTCACCATTTATTTTATCCTAAATAAATGTGCAAAATACACAAATTTGTGTTTATGTATTCACTGTGAGGTGGGTGCAGGGAGGAAACATCAATGACTCACTCACGTAACACGCAACTAATACCTCAATGAGTAACAAGAATATTGGCCGGGACTCACCCAGTACTCAAGTGTCCAGTAAAGAGACTTGTGCCTCTTGGCTCGATAATGGCGTCTTAATTGCTATTCACTTAATACAGTCTACGACCTGCGAGACGCTACGAGGTCGTACACAACCTGAGGTTATTGCTGTTGTTGACATCGTAATATTATAGCATCTCGGTGCTCGGAAACTGTTGAATGAAGGTAGACTAAGCCGCCAATGATTGAAGGCAAGAGGAATGGTACACGTAACTGCTTGATCAATCCCGGCAGTCAGAGAGCACTTCGAACAGCTCAACGTGGCGCCTGGCGTTGGGACTTCAAGAATGAAAGGTTTTGAAAAGGTTCTCTACTGTACGGGTTTGAATCCTTAAACTATTTCAATAGCGGTATGTGTTTTTGTTATATAAATATTTTTAAAATTTAAATTGTTAAAACATGTACACCATGTTGTAATACTTTTTAAATATCTGTAATGTTTAGGGATTAACAAATCCCTTGATGATTACACAAAGGGATTTAACAGCTCGCTTGATGTTTACACACACACACGGGGTCTATAATGACTGTTGGGTCCTTGTTTTAACAATCTCCCTTCGACATACATAACACGCTTATCAAGCTTCTACGTAGCGCTTCCTATATCACAAACCTCTTGTCAATTCCGTAGAAATTATATTCTACACAGCTCAAAATATTTCCCGATATGGCTGAGGTCCGCAGTCTATCTCAATGAACGCATTTCATAACACAAACCTTCCCCTCTGATAGACAGGAAATTCCCTTTGAAAGCCTATATCCGTAGTCACCACAGCCTATGACATGCATTCTCTCTCTCTCGCTATATAAACCAGAAATTCGTTTTCTCTCAAATTTCCTACAGCCCGGAATTGGACCCGATCACAAAACTCTCAATTTAAACCGGATAGAAAATCTCTTTAAAACCCTCCGATTCTTTACAAGCCGAAGTAGCAACGTTCAGAACACGGGTTGTCCTCTTTTAAAGCAGCTGAGTCAATCGTGCTCCTGAGATTATATATATATATATATATATATATATATATATATATATATATATATATATATATATATATATATAAACAAAAAAGTTTGAAATACAAGCTTAAGATTTTATTATTATTAACACATTATATTCTATATATTTCTTCCGTTTTCCAACACATGTTAAGGCGAGGGGGTACAAAAATAGAGTGGTAGCTAGAGAGGTTTGTGTGTGTTGGGTTCACTCTGTGTTGGAAGGTTTTGAACGTGCTCTCCCTATCACCCGGAAATTCAAGGTTTGTAAAAGCCTTCAGCTGTAGAATCCAAACGGCGCACTGTGGCGTTTCAACTGTAACAAGACTCTGGGTATTATTGGGTCTCTCAGGCGCCTTGTCTGTATAACATTTATCAGTATGTAATTACAAAATAAATTGCTGAAAAATTATACAAAATTCCTTTGTCATTGTTATTATTAAATAATCGTTAAATTTGTAAATAAAATTCTTTATTATTTACAGTTTTACATAACCATTTTTTCAGTAAAATACAGGATAAGATTGATTGAATAATATATTCCTAAAAAATATCAACTATTATTTATATTTGTAAAAAAAAATCCTCATTAGTTTTACTTCTGGAACGTCCAGTCTCCCGTAGAGGAGCTACCTCCACCCTTCCCAAGATGCACGATGGATAAGCATAGGCTGGTGAAACAGTTCTGACCACTCACTTATGGACGCTTTCGGAAACCTTCAATTTCTGGAGCGTAATCTTGGGTATTGAGAGAGAGAGAGAGAGAGAGAGAGAGAGAGAGAGAGAGAGAGAGAGAGAGAGAGAGAGAGAGAGAGAGAGAGAGAGAGAGAGAGAGAGAGAGAGAGAGAGAGAGAGAGGGAAAGAGAGGGAAAGAGAGAGAGAGGGAAAGAGAGAAGGAAAGAGAGAGACAAAGAGAGAGAGACAGAGACAGAGAGAAAGAGAGAGAGAGAGAGAGAGAGAGAGAGAGAGAGAGAGAGAGAGAGAGAGAGAGAGAGAGAGAGAGAGAGAGAGAGAGAGAGAGAGGGAAAGAGAGGGAAAGAGAGGGAAAGAGAGAGGGAAAGAGAGAGGGAAAGAGAGAGGGAAAGAGAGAGGGAAAGAGAGAGACAAAGAGAGAGAGAGAGAAAGACAGAGAGCGTGTAAATATATATATAGAGAACGAGAAATAGAAATATATATTTTATTAAGACAGACATACTGTCAAAGGCGTCGTGTCTCCCGGCTATTCATTATGCCTCTGTTGTACAAAATACAAAAATTTCCAAATACATTTTTGATATTTGCATTTTAACTTCTGGCGTGGAAGAAAAAAAAACTTGAATAAGCGTATGAAATAAATCTGAACCTTTTTTTTTTTAATATAAATACTTCAATCACAAAACAAACGACGAAATATTTTGGAATGTTGTAATATACTTGATTTAACACACAAAAACTGCAGCAAATAATGTTTGATCGCTAGCTTTAGAGGTCAATGTGAGCCGCAACAGCTGTCAATTACATTATGTACACAACACAACAAGAACCTATATTACATATGTAAGGAGCAAAAAGTATAATATTATCAACACACCTACAGTATATTTCTCTTCGTCTAAAATTAAACCCAAATAGACTGATGACTCGCCGACACTAGAGGGCACTTGGGACCTATACGCTCTTTCAAGGCATACTAATGTACACTCTAAAAATATTATACATTATATATTTATATATATGTAAATATATATAAATATATATATATATATAGGACAAAAGGGAATACTCTTTTTTATGATTTACAGCCCGTGTTTTGTTTATTTTTTGTGCCCCATCGAGGGATGAAGCTGTCTTACGGATGGCTTGGTCAGGGCTTGAGTCTGACTCTTTGTTTGATTCTCGTCTGAATGTCCGGTGCAGCTGTTGTTGGCTTCGAAGCCTGGTATAACTGTAACTAACTCTGGCTTCGAAACCCCAATACAGCTGACCCCCGGCATCGATCACTAGTGTATTTGATTATGGCTTTGAAACCATGTACATAAATGTGTGTAATGTTTGTGTAATTGCGTCATAGAACCCTTGTACTGTACCCTAAGGAACTTTTTTTCAGCAACGAAGGGTTTCACAAGTCCGTCCAAAAGAAGCCACTCCATATCAGACCCCGCGAGGAGTTACTTAAACGTGAGTTCCTGAATCGCTTCCTGGAACCCAGAGAACGAGATCAAGCAGGCTTTCTTATCTTGAACACACGAAACAGTGAGGTCAATCTACTCTCACTTCCTGGAAGCCAAGGATAGCGAAGTCAGTTTCCCGCTCGTACCTTCAAGCACACACACCAAGAACGAGATCACGCCTGCTCCCACAAACCAAAGGAATGAGGGACGGTCCACGTTCTCACCGACTCACGGAAGGTGATAGTTTGTGGTCGGACCTGCGTCTTGACTTAACAAGGGGGGGGGGGGGGTCCTCCAACGCCTTCCCGTCTCTGCTCCACTTTATGAAACGCGCTATAAGCGTCTAAGCCTTATAACAAATTATATAGATTTGTCCGTCACGTGAAGGCCATAATACAGCTCAGAAGAACTTCAAGAAATATCAAATGCATCTTAACTACTGCTACGTTTCTATATCGGTAATATACGATATGTTTAATTCATTCTCTTTACAATATAAATTCTTGGAAAAAGCTGCAAAGCAGAATTCTCTCACCTGTATGTCAGTTATAAATATCTGAAATGCACTCAAACAAATGAAAAAAAAAAAAGTTTCTTATTTCCAATAAAACTCTAGAATCTAGTCTACTCAAAGAGTGTTCTAAGAGTTTCCTAAAAAACCTCAAAAGCTTAAAACCCGCAATTGGCAGAACGAGGAAGTGATAAGAGCGTGTCACTTTAAGCCGTGACGGTGTATCCAGGTTCTCCAAAAGAGGTTTTTTTTATATCTCTGTTAATAAGATACACTTTAATCTCAAAACCTCCTACAAGACACTCCAAAAAGTACTTATTTCTCTACATGTCTACTTCGACTGTGAAAGATATACTTCAGTCTACCTTAATGAGGGGGAAAGAGGGTCTATTTACACGAGATAGAAATATAGAGTTTAGATAGTGATTGTAAGTTTGTGAATCCAGAAACATGAGTGCATGAGTCTCTTTAAGAGGTCTGGGCGACGCCTCTGGGAGTGCTCCCTCGTTCCCTTCCTTCACAACCTCCTTCTTCACATTCCTTCACTGCTGCTTCCATCCTCACATGGCTACCCCACACCAGCAACAACAGTCGGGTGTACAATAGCTGCCACACCAGCACAATCCCCACACAGGCAGTTGTAGAAATGTCTACACAATTTCCATTCATCTGTAATTTCTACTTCACGAGTCTGTTGCAGCTGTCGACACACACACAGGGAGATAGGTCAGGGGTCATTGCATTAGACAACCAACGGCTAGAAAAGCGGGCTCCAAGAGCTAGGGCTCTTGGAGAGCTAGAGCTCTCGCTGGAGAGCTGGAGCTCTAAGAGCTAGAGCTCTTGGACCGTATTTGTCCTGCTCTAGACACTCTCATACATTTTTCAACAGACACTTCATACATTTTGCCGTGGGACTCGTGTATGCATTTTGCTGTGGAAGTGAACATAAGGATTGGTGAGGCAATCTTTATGTCTGTCTGTGGCATATGTAACATCTTGCTGTAGCATTCTAACTCAAACCTGCTTTGTGTTCAACAATAGTACCTTGAGCGACTGGCTGGCTGGCTGGCTGGCTGACTGGCTGAGTGGTTGACTGGCTGACTGACTGGCTGGCTGGCTGGCTGACTGGCTGAGTGGTTGCTTGGCTGGCTGGCTGACTGGCTGAGTGGCTGGCTGGCTGGCTGGCTGGCTAGCTGAACAGCCTAGAATTGTAACAGGCTGTTTATATTTAACTTGAAGCAGTAGGTGATAAACTGCTTCATCCTCTTTTCCTCGGGATATTTTCCTGACACAGTGTCCTCACACCTCCCTCACGCAAGACAACGTCACCTTCCTCTTCCACCAAAGGCGCCCACAAGCAAGATATCACCAAAGCTCAGTTTCACCACATTTGGAACGTTCACATCTCTGAAATGATAACTGTTCTCATTGTTCATGTGAACTCCTTGGGAGAGAGCATCAGGTGTAACTCACCACTAGTAAATCATTCATCAATTCTTCAAGAATATACATGTGTGTATATATATATATACAGAAGCCCCTATTCCTCAAGAAAATCATGATTATCACCCCACAAAGACTTTATCAGCGATCTTGTTACTTTATCACGATTTATTACTCCGTATTTGCATCTTATTTTCTCTTAACGTTGTATATATGTTTCAGAAACGTTGACAACCTATTTTTTTTGCCCCATTTTCGTTGTTGTGTAGTTAAGTTCCAGCAATGTTGTCATTGCCTTGTTCATTTTTTCCCCTTATGTTTGTATTCATTTGATTTTCACGTTTCTTCAACTTTATTTCATCTTGAACATTGTTATTTTTTTCCCCTTTCTCTTCTCTTCAGGCAACACATTTGTCTATTTGTTTCTTTTATTTGATTTACTAATACGAAACAAAGTCACAGGGCGAGAGGGACCACAACAGTACACACGAAGGCTCCTTGTAGCACCCGAGGGCGCCTGAGGGCACCTGGGTGCTCCTGAAGGTACACATGAAGGCTCCTTGTAGCACCCGAGGGCGCCTGAGGGCACCTGGGTGCTCCTGAAGGTACACATGAAGGCTCCTTGTAGCACCCGAGGGCGCCTGAGGGCACCTGGGTGCTCCTGAAGGTACAAAAAAAGTCACCTGCAAGAGTCCACGAGACATCTCAAAAGCAGTTCGTAGTAGAACCCGGAGGCAGCTCAAGGGTACTGGAAAACGCCTGGAGGTACAGGTGAGCACCTGGATTGCCCTGCAGAACCCTACACAGAACCTCAGGGGCATCACACAAGGCCTCGGGAGAACCACAGAACCCCAGGGGGAGGAGACCACACAGAAGCTTAGAAGGTCTCACAGGACTTCAAGGACACCGTAGAGCACTGGGAGAACATCTTATGATGGCACATTGACGGCCAAGCGACGGTAAGGCTCGTGACGGAACCGCCCGCGGGCGACTTGACCGCCGGCTTTGAGTGCTGCGTCCTTCTTGTCGGAATCTGCAAAACAGAGAGAGAAATAAAGAGAGCATTAGTTCACGTGCGTAAAATGTTCCTTAAAACCAAATATATCTCTACACGAAAAATGACTGTATCTGTCCGAAGTTAGTGGGCAGACCCTTTGAGGGGCTAGCCTGGTATAACTTTGCATGGGGAATGATGTAAGGTTGGGGGCTATCATGGGCGGGTCGGGGTTGGTCCCATTGCTCGCATTAATGTGTGGTTTACCACCATGACGACCACCACGAAATATGTGGAAGGCGGTTGGCAGAGTCCTTATCTTGAGGTTATCTTGAGATGATTTTGTAGCACAAAAGATATCCCTAGGATATCTTTTGATACTTTAAGCCACCATGGAATAATAAATCTGGAGTAGGAACACAGTCAGTCAAGCAAAAGTGACAGATAACAAGTATGCACTCCATAGTACTCAGTGAGAGGATGATAGACACTCCATAGTACTCAGTGGGGGATGATAGACACTCCATAGTACTCAGTGGGAGGATGATAGACACTCCATAGTACTCAGTGGGGGATGATAGACACTCCATAGTACTCAGTGGGGGATGATAGACACTCCATAGTACTCAGTGGGAGGATGATAGACACTCCATAGTACTCAGTGGGAGGATGATAGACACTCCATAGTACTCAGTGGGGGATGATAGACACTCCATAGTACTCAGTGGGGGATGATAGACACTCCATAGTACTCAGTGGGAGGATGATAGACACTCCATAGTACTCAGTGGAGGATGATAGACACTCCATAGTACTCAGTGGGAGGATGATAGACACTCCACAGTACTCAGTGGGAGGATGATAGACACTCCATAGTACTCAGTGGGAGGATGATAGACACTCCACAGTACTCAGTGGGAGGATGATAGACACTCCATAGTACTCAGTGGGGGGATGATAGACACTCCATAGTACTCAGTGGGAGGATGATAGACACTCCATAGTACTCAGTGGGGGGATGATAGACACTCCATAGTACTCAGTGGGAGGATGATAGACACTCCATAGTACTCAGTGGGAGGATGATAGACACTCCATAGTACTCAGTGGGAGGATGATAGACACTCCATAGTACTCAGTGGGAGGATGATAGACACTCCATAGTACTCAGTGGGGGATGATAGACACTCCACAGTACTCAGTGGGAGGATGATAGACACTCCATAGTACTCAGTGGGAGGATGATAGACACTCCATAGTACTCAGTGGGAGGATGATAGACACTCCATAGTACTCAGTGGGGGATGATAGACACTCCATAGTACTCAGTGGGGGGATGATAGACACTCCATAGTACTCAGTGGGAGGATGATAGACACTCCATAGTACTCAGTGGGAGGATGATAGACACTCCATAGTACTCAGTGGGGGATGATAGACACTCCATAGTACTCAGTGGGAGGATGATAGACACTCCACAGTACTCAGTGGGAGGATGATAGACACTCCATAGTACTCAGTGGGAGGATGATAGACACTCCACAGTACTCAGTGGGAGGATGATAGACACTCCACAGTACTCAGTGGGAGGATGATAGACACTCCACAGTACTCAGTGGGAGGATGATAGACACTCCACAGTACTCAGTGGGAGGATGATAGACACTCCACAGTACTCAGTGGGAGGATGATAGACACTCCACAGTACTCAGTGGGAGGATGATAGACACTCCACAGTACTCAGTGGGAGGATGATAGACACTCCACAGTACTCAGTGGGAGGATGATAGACACTCCACAGTACTCAGTGGGAGGATGATAGACACTCCACAGTACTCAGTTTACAATATCAACTCTCCCACCTTGAAGGAGTCAGTGTAGATCACCGTAAAACTGTTTTGTTAAAGAAATTTCGTAGCTTTTTAATATATATTATATGTCCCCCCCCTCCCCCCTCTCTCCCTCTCTCTCCTCTCTCTCTCTCTCTCTCTCTCTCTCTCTCTCTCTCTCTCTCTCTCTCTCTCTCTCTCTCTTCTCTCTCCTCTCTCTCTCTCCTCTCTCTCTCCACCATCTCCTCACTGATTTATGAGACAATATCTGTCAGGGCTCTTCGATATTCATGAATATTTTTTCATTCAAATTCGCGTTCTAAGTGGATGGCCAACTGCTGAGACCATCAACAGGTGGTTGCTGGCCTAGTAGCCTAGTCCAGATAACTAGCTAAACACAAGGCTAGCAGAACGACGTTCATATTAGCGTAACGTCAAACCGTTCTAAAAACAACATTACAGTAGGTAAAAAGCTACAGCTACAGTAGTTAAAAAGCTACAGCTACAGTAGTTAAAAAGCTACAGCTACAGTAGCGAAAAAGCTACAGCTACAGTAGCTAAAAAGCTACAGCTACAGTAGCTAAAAAGCTACAGCTACAGTAGCTAAAAAGCTACAGCTACAGTAGCTACAGCTACAGTAAGCTACAGTAGCTACAGCTACAGTAAGCTACAGTAGCTAAAAACATTACAGTAGCTAGCATGGTAGGAGATAGGGGGGTTAGTTTACATCACTTTTAGAATAAAACACTGTGCTAGTAGCATACCATTCAGACGTAGAAAACTAGTCGCTGTGCTAGGAGAAAGTTTAATTTTTTTCTTTAGGAAATTAGCAGTGTAGATAGTGTATAATAGCATTCCGTTTGTGACAACAGGAGACCGTGCTAGCTAGTGGGTCGATGTGGATGAACTAGCGAACCTAGGAACAAATTTCGTGG